ATTAAATTTATCTTCAGGATATAAGGCAATCATAGCAACAGTTTTGTTGGTAGCTAGTAACTCTGAGTTCAGAAACTTTTTTTCTTCTTCTAAGCAGGACAGAATTTATTTTGGGAAGTTATGCATAGCAAGAAATAAAATTGCCTTTTGAGAGAAGAGAAAAGAATTAATTATTACTTAATTCAAGATACTATATTCCGGCTCTAATTCCCTCATCATTCAGAGAGCTTTGGATGAACCACTTACATTTTGTATTAATATTAATGTATTAATAACATTTTGTATTAATAATGTGAATGGGAAAGAGAAAAAAAAGGTCAAGATCTGCTTCAATAATTGGTTTACTCAATGTTATTGCAAACTACATACTTTCTGTGCCAACCTAAAATTTTATTGCTGCAAAGATGGATCTCCCCAATTTCTATAGACAAACAAATGAAGAAGATAAAAGAATTGGTCAGATTTAAAATACATCTTTATTTTGGTCCTCAGCAAAACAAGTGCAGGTGCATAATACAGCAAAGAAAAGAACTAGTATATTCAATATTTTTCATAGTACAGGGGAACAAGGAATTGGACCAGAGGTGGTATTCAGCAGAATTGGTATTCTAACCAATTCTGGAGAACCAATAGCAGAAATTTTGAGTAGTTCAGCGAACCGGTAAATGCCACCTCTGACTGGCCCCACCCCCATCTATTCTCTGCCTCCCAAGTCCCAGCTGATTGGGAGGAAATGGGGATTTTGTAGTAACCTTCCCCTGGAGTGGGGAGGGAATGGAGATTTTACAGTATTCTTCCCCTGGAGTGGGGTGGGAATGGAGTTTTTACAGTATCCTTCCCCTGCCATGCCCACCAAGCCATGCCACACCCACCGAGCCATGCCCACAGAACCGGTAGCAAAAAATTTTGAATCCCACCACTGAATTGGACTAACCAGCATAGGCATTTAACATAATAAGTTCTTCCATATCAAATGGCACATTTAATTATGTGATGCAAATTAACAAAGACCAGATCACTGGGTGACTTTCTGTATGCAGCAGCATAGATACTGGTCACATTGAGAAGAACTGATAAGTTCTTGGCCTTTTCTCTGTTTTTTTTTTTTCCATGACCTTTGAACATGGTTTTGAAAATCCATGAGTTTGGGTTTGAGTTTTATTAAATTTTTATACCGCCCTCCTCCCGAAGGACTCAGGACAGTGTACAGCCAAGATAAAAAACCAACCATATAAAAGTTAAAAACAATTTAAAATTATTAAATAGTTTGGCCAATAATCTAAAATAAAATAACCCATTAAAATAATATTTTAGGCCAGCCCTGCTTGATGGAATAATAGTGTTTTAAGGGTGTGGCGAAAGGTACGGATGTCGGGAATCCAACGAATCTCCGGGGGCAGCTCGTTCCAGAGGGCAGGTGCCCCCACAGAGAAGGTTCTCCCCCTGGGGGTCGCCAGGCACCCTGGCACCCTGAGGAGACCCTCTCTGTGGGAGTGTACTGGTTGATGGGAGGCTATTGGAGGCAGAAGGCGGTCTCGTAAGAACCCAGGTCCTATGCCATGGAGCACTTTAAAGGTGGCAACCAACACCTTGAATCGCACCCGGAAGACCACCGGGAGCCAGTGCAGCTCACGCAGGAATGGTGTTACATGGGAGCATCGAGTCGCCCCCATAATCACCCGTGCGGCCGCATTCTGGACCACCTGGAGCCTCTGGGCACTCTTCAATGGGAGCCCCATGTAGAGAGCGTTACAGTAGTCCAGACGAGAAGTGATGAGGGCATGAGTGACCGTGCGCAAGGTGTCCCGGTCCAGAAAGGGACGCAACTGGTGGGTCAGGCAAACCTGATAAAAAGCCCTCCTGCCACAGCCATCAGATGGTCTTCTAAAGACAGCTGTGAGTCCAGGAGGACACCCAAGTTGCAAACCCTCTCTGAGGGGGCCTAAATCTCACCCGCTGTAGTCAGTGATGGAACCAACTGACTATGACGGGACACCGGAAACCACAGCCACTCGGTCTTGGAGGGGTTGAGTCTGAGCTTGTTTCTCCCCATCCAGATCCGTACGGCCTCCAGGCATCGGGTCATCACTTCAAGGGCATCATTGGGGTGGCCTGGGGTGGAAATGTACAGCTGAGTATCATCAGCGTACTGATGGAAATCCACCCCGAAGCCATGGATGATCTCACCCAGTGGCTTCACATAAATGTTGAACAGGAGGGGTGAGAGAACCGACCCCTGAGGCACCCCACAAACTAAGCGCCTCACGGTCGACCTCTGCCCCCCTGCCAACACAGACTGCGTATGGTCAGAAAGGAAGGAGGAGAACCACCATAACATGGTGCCCCCCACCCCAACCCCTCCAACCGGCGCAGCATGATACCATGGTCGATGGTATCAAAAGCTGCTGAGAGATCTAATAGGACCAGGACAGAGGAACAATCCCTGTCCCGAGCCCTCCAGAGATCATCAACCAATGCTACCAATGCCGTTTCCATGCTATACTCAGGCCTGAAGCCCAACTGGAACGGATCCAGATAGTCCGCTTCATCCAGGTACTGGGGAAGCTGTCATGCCACTACACTCTCAACAACCTTTGCCACAAAGCGAAGGTTGGAGACTGGATGATAGTTTGATAAAACAGCCAGGTCCAGAGAAGGCTTTGTGAGTTTTTATGTCTTAAGATTCCAAGCATGGCACATAATTTCAAAGCTTTAATAATCAATACTGTACACATTATGCAGCAGGCAAATGTAGATAGATGGGGAAAATTTAAGGGGATTTTAAAAAGATTCAAACACAGTTTGCACATGATTTTTATTTCTTAAATGTTTCTCAAGTCAAATAAAATGGATCAGCTACCAGAAGCTTATCTTTCTTGCTCCAAGGCTCCTAAACACCACACCTAAATCCCATTTTTCTAATATATTAAGCTGCGCTGCCAAAGCTTAAAAAATAAGTAAAGGTCTAGTATAGTTATCATAACGCAGCATGGAATTACACATATATTTTCCAGACAGAGCATGTGATCCTCACATAATAGGACACATACACTCCCTCTCACACACATACTTCCTCCCTCCTCTCTCTCTCTCTCTCACACACACACGGGGGGGGGGGGAGGAGAGAAAGAGAGATTATTAATTTGCAATGCTAATAAGCATTTCCAGTTTAACTGGGTGTTGTACACATTCTGAAATCCATAATGTTGGTTAAAACAGATAACACAAATAGGCAAGATAAATATCATGAACATAATGAAAATGAAAACTGAAAATCATAAATCACCATATCTAATAGCAGAAATCTAAGCACTGAAAACCAACAGGCAAACTCCTTATCAAGCAGAATAGTCACAACAACCCAGATCCTGAGATGGATCAAAATCTTTAGAGACTCTCTGAAAGTCATGCATGAAAGGGCTATTTGAACATCTGTACCTTAAGAAGAGCACCTAAAAAGACATGTTTCTTTAGCTCCCAGAGAGGACAATCCTTGCTCAAGGGAAGATGGAGATATAAGGGTCAGGAAGATTTATTTAACCAGGCTGTATCCAGCAACTGTATTCCAAAAAGTAATGAACTTAATACACTTCTGAAAGGTCACAAGTTCTTGTGTTCTTATTTATACCTTATCTGAGCCTTGGAGATTTATACAACTGATGAAAAATGCTAAAAATGATCCATTTTCTCTTAGATGTATGGCAGTTTAAAAGAAAGAATGCTGTTTCAAAATCATATAATAGTCTAGGCAACAACAATAACAATCTGAAGCCAAAGTCTCATCCAAACTTGATCGTAGCTACCAAAATCTCAAAATTCAACTAATCACTGTAGTAGAATTCCTTAACGCTTGGACTATTAAATCCAAGAATGCTCACTGAGCAAAGTCAATAAGTATCTTGGCTAGAAAATGTAACAACTGGAAGAACACATCTAGAGGGCACTTAAGAAGATGGTTCTGTGTGTATAAGAGGTACAATAAAATATGCCAAACACAATTTAACACCCAATGAAGTTATTTGTAATATACTGTATAGCTGTGTTCCCAGGCATATGGGTTGGAGCATCAATTGGAGCCCAGGGTATGGTTATGTTGATGGATGTTTGTTTTATCTTAACCACCAATTATATATTTGTGTGTTCGATTTTTATTACATTATATTGCAACTATTGTCAGCCACCCAAAGACACCATAGTACCAATCTCATTGTACATATGTTGTGCACTGACAATAAAGATTTGAATTTGAATTGAATTTAGTAAGGTGAGTGGCCTTATCAATGGAATGCACGAAGGAACCAAAAATACATAATGAATACAAAAAGCTGAATCAAATGTACTAGGCATGTTATCATCTACTTCCCCAAATAAATTCATACCATTATCCTAACATCCCAAAATCTGAAGTAAGACTACTAAATTTTGTTATAAATTCCCTTAATAATAAAGAAACTGCAAGCAAAAGTTTAATATGATAACATCTATCGTTTGACAAAGCATGGAATATTGTATTTAAACTCCAAGAATTTTTCATCTCCTTTTTTGGGGGGTGGGGAGAGGGAGTATATTGATTATATTAACATTTAACTAGAAGGGCTGAAGACTATTAAACTTGCATGCCTTGATAATTTTTTTCCTTTATTTATATAATTTCTATAGCATCCAATTCAACCAGATGACTCTGGTTTCTATATCAGTATAGGTAACATGATTAAGCTGGGGCAAGGAATGCAAATACCAAGGTGGTGATTCAGATCTCATGATTAAACTACCATCTTGATTTCCTTTGTCCCCACAAAGGAGACAAAGAGACATCCCTAGATTAAGTGCTAATAAAACCAGAACAATCCCAACTTTAATTCTCTTTAAATGTCAGTAAACGGTGTATGTCTTTAGATGATTTGGCACAAAAGGCCAATTTAAACAATTTGCATAAGATTTTCATCACAGCATGAAACCGTGGGAGAAGCATCTCATCCAATTCTTTTAATTCTTCTTACCTTGTGATAACATCTGAAGTATGCAGCACGCTCATCTGAAAATTTCTCCATTCTTCTGGGCCCTTTGCTGGATGCTTTCTTGAAGACTAGCCAACATCTCTGATAAATCTATGAAAAACATACACAAACATACTTCCCCATGACTTGTATGACAATGGTTTTATGAAAATATACACTCATAAATATCCATACGCACTTATCCATCTAAACATGTTTAAATCCTCCATCTAGGATTTAAAATTAGGTCTATGCAATTTGTCCAGTGATTCCAAGAGACTTGAAGTTCAAGTATTTTGGGACCCATCTCAGCAATTAAACATCACAAATAACATCCTAGTTTTGGGTTAAGAGATTATACTGTTATAGACCAGTAAATAATTCAAAATCACTGTGCAACTATGAAAATTTTCAGATGTCAGCACTCACCACTTTGTTTTTTTCTCTTACATTCACTCATTAATTCATAATCATACTACACATGGAAGCCTTTTTTTTTTTTTTTTGAATGACCAAATTAAACAAGGAGAGAAGCAACCTAGAACTAAGGAGAAATTTCCTGATAGTCAAGTTCATAGATAACACAAGAATCCTGTTGTAACTTTTCTGACTCTGTGGTGTTTTCATGTCATTTAGCTTTTTCAGATATTACATATGGGATAAACATATTTTAGTATTTCTAGACTGCTCTCAGTGAGACTATCTTTTACAGCTCGACTGATTGTCTTAGCAGTTTAGAAAATAAGGAGTAATATCAATATCAGTCACTGTCACTGTCTTCCTCATCAGTGTTCCTCTATTTTGGCAGCTTTATGATGTATGGACTCCCAGAATTTTGTAGCCAGCATGGCTTCATCAGTAATTTAGGAGAACTTTTCAGGAATGGCTTTATCGTAGGGAGATTGTTTGGAGGCAGCTATTACGTCATTACAGAATGGAATGCAGAACCAAAGAGATGGTGGGTGAATTATTAATGCTATATCAACCTTACAAACTATTCTGCCAAAGTCAGGTGCAATCTGACCCACTGCCAGAATTAAAATATAATTTAACTATTATTGTAGTCAGTTTCTGTGCCTGGAATCCAACAAGGTAAATAGGGGGAGGGACTGTTCCATTTTATTACATGCAACAAAACACCACTGAATGGTTCTGATGTCTCTTCCCCATCTACTTATTCTCTGAACATTTACATCAGCATGATGTCACTCTTCTTCCATCTGAGTAAGGCTGTGTTTCTGGACCAAATACCTAAAACTTTACAATTTTGTATTCTGAAATCAGTTACTTAAAAGCATGAATGTTGATTATTATATTGCCAAGGGAGTGTCAGAATAGACATTGATCAACAGCTGGAAGAAGGAATGAACGCCCCACTTCATGATGATGATGATAATGATGATGATGATGATGATGACAATGTGCCATCAAGTTGTTGACCAATAGTAACCACATAGATTTTGTCAGATTGATCTGCCAGAACCTGAAGATATCTTGGAAAGAATGTAGGATTGTGAAGGGTCTTGAGAAAGTTTGACTTCAGATGTATTATGCTCTTACTGTCTCTCCCCCTGCTTTTTTTTTCTTTTGCTTAGGTTAATTTTTTTAAAAAATAAATTAAAAAAAAATCTGTTTCAGCCTTGTGTTATTCACCCAATCATCAATGTGGTGGCCATAAAAACGATTAAATGTTGTTTAGCAGGAATATGAAATGAAAGTTGGAAGGATCTTGAATAAGAATGATATAGTCAAAAACATCTGAAAATTTTGATAATTGTAAATATTTATATATCCTGGTTGCAATACTTTGATATGTTGGAATGTTAGAAGATAAATGGGAACTGTCTCTCAGGATAAGCTTAACTTTTATTCATTGACCATGTAAAATCAGTTGTAATCATATAATGACAACTACTACCTCTGATTTAGTCTACATTTAGTGTACAATCTCCAAAATCTCAATGGAGAGTTTATAGTTGAAACACCTAGCTGAGTTTTTTTATTCTTCCCAGCTCTTTATTTTCTCTTGTCTGATGAAGAGCTCTGCTCTTCTTCGCTCTGTTCAGTCTTGATAAATGTACTGACCTACTATGGTTAATAGATTTTCTTTTAAAGGACCAAACTTTACTCTGTTTACTTTACAGAAGTCAGGAACTTCTGATTCTATATGATGTGATAGACTGCAGCAAGCTGGATTCCTAGGAGATAGGGAGGTGCATTCCAGACAAATAAGGATAACTCAGTTGAGATACCTTGTGTGAGAGAAAGAAGGTGAAGACAGTTCCTCCCTAATAATTCTCAGAGTATATGGCAGATGCAAATAATAGAGTGTTTAGTCTGGCAAGAGTCTGTCTATAGGTGTGGACCAATAAAGAATTCAGTTTGAAAGAATCACTACGTGTCTTTCTTGGTTTGGGAGCCTAACAAACTAGGAGAACTAAATCCAGTACCACCAAGGTTTTGAGCTAACTGAAATGGACATAAATGACACAACATTTATAAGCTAAAAATGCAGTTAAAAGCAACAGTTATTAGCATACAATTGTTATGTTGTACGTTACAACTGTAACATACAATCAGGTTTGTTCTTGGTTAAAATTCATTTCCTTGGCAACAACTTGTCCTGCTGTGGTTTTAGAACGCTGTGCACCAGTAAGTACCCCATATTTATAAGTGTAAGACTTTTTGTAAGACTTGTAATTTCTTAAAAATTACAGGTGGGTGGATGAAATCTCTGGAACAGAAATTTGATGGCTACAAGATTAAAGTTCAGTCTTCAGTGCTTCCGTCTTTTAACCAGGACATATGCAATTAAACCATCTTTTGATTCAATTCACTACAGTCAATGTAATGGCAGAAAGTTTTCGAATTTTGTGAACATACCACAAACCACATTAAATGTTTAATAATTAAATTCTTAATTAATTATATTATTGTTTCCATGAACACTATCATATCCATTCAAAGCAATTATTCAGAGCATCTGTTTGTGTCTTTCTGCTCAACTGAATGTGGGTAAATGAAGCTGTTTGAAAAACACAGCTCAATAGATACTCTCGGTTGTTTTCCCCTCTTTTCCTTTTCTTAAAGCTACTGTCTTTGACAAGCCATTCAGGTGATAAAACTGTTGTCAGAGCATCAAGCAGAAAGTCTCATCCCAGAGCATCAACATGTTTTGGGATATATTCTAAACACGTATTGGCAGGAGAGGAACTTCAAATTTAGTCTACTACTTCATTTTCCTTTGGGGAAAATATCAAGGCTCAAAAATACAACATCCAGCTTTTGCATGCAAGACAGGTATAGCATCTCCAGGTAGCACTAGGAAAAAAATATTCTCTGTCTCATCACCTGGGCAGATGTTGGAATTAACCATTGTTCACATTGCTTTCGATTAACCTAGGAAGTGACATAATGGTGTTGATTTTCAAATCCTGACAATTTCAGGTACAATGGATAATGACATGGGAAGCTGGGAGTTGAGGCTCAGCAACATAAGAAAGGCCACACCTTGTCCAACTTTGCGCTATATCTTTCATAAATCACAACTGGCTGGATCCACCCAGTGAGTCAAGCTATAAACCATATACTTAGATAGATATATAAAATGCACCTTATCAATACAAGAGCATCAATGAAATCCCTGCCTTGGAAAATCACTAATTTATCCCTGTTCCAAAAAGCAGGAAAAATGTTGTGCTTCCTACTATCCCTTTCACCATTCCTACAGTACCATTCCTGAGCCAGGAGGGAGGAGGAGGAGGAGGAGGAGGAGGAGGAGAAGGAGGAGGGGGAGGGGGAGGGGGAGGGGGAGGGGGAGAGGGAGAGGAAGAAGAAGAAGAAGAAGAAGAAGAAGAAGAAGAAGAAGAAGAAGAGAAGAGAAGAAGAAGAAGAAGAAGAAGAAGAACAACAACAACAACAACAACAACAACAACAACAACAACAACAACAACAACAACAACTAGTAATAGTAGTTTAGAACTAAATTTCTCAGTGTGCTACATGCATCCTGGGCAGTTCTCCTACCATTGTTTCAATAGATATGGTGCCCAATCCACATAGAAGAACAGGAGGAGGAGGAAGGGAGGGAGGGAGGAAGGAAGGAAGCTAGATTACTGGTGCATCCCCAAAAGTCACATTCATTCTACTACAAAACATAACCTATGTTCAGGTGAAAAATGAGAGCAATATCACTATTTAGAGAGTCCAATGAAATGCATTGTCAGGATTTCATTTTTGTTGTTGTTGTTGTTTTTGTGTATAAGGACTGCAGAAAAACATGCATAAGGACAAAGGAGTCTTAATGTATCCCCGAGTGCTGATTCTTCAAAATGATTAATTTGCTGCTTTCATTAAAGCCAAGGAATAGCAAGGACTTCACTTTTCTCTATTGATCCCAAGCATATGGCAACTATTAAGGCAGGTTTTTCACAGCCAAGAAGCTAAGCGGTAGCAGTTTGTTCTAAACATGGAGGATCAAATATCTGAAGGAATGCCAGAAGTAAATGAGATTGGTTCATTTCCACTAGCCCCAGACAGGCACTTACAACTTCAGCTCTACATCTGCTTAAACAAGCTGCCAATAACTAGGAAAGCTCACCTAATGGCACTTTAAAACACCGAAAATGTAAGGGGAAAAGACAATTAGTAGATTCTGACAACAGGCCTTGGCATGGCTCTTAATTGTAATCTACATTAGAATTAACTTTTTCATCTCAACCTTTAAACATTTCTGCACTCTTGAGTTCTGACAAATGCCTCCATAAAACCAAGAAAGCACTTTGTGAACTGAGTTTGTTCATTGTGACATAATCTGCTTAACCATACAGGAGGCATTGGTTAATGATATCAACTGGGACTGGAATTTCTAACACTAAGCAACATCATATGACTGCATCACTTAGTGATGGCAGTTTCAGTTGCCATTGTTAAGCAAATCGTTGTGGGTCATTAAGTAAGGATGTCACATGGCTCCCCTATGAGAGCATATGCACCAAGACAAATTCCTTGTGTGTCCAATCACACTTGGCCAATAAAATATTCTATTCTATTCTATTCTATTCTATTCTATTCTATTCTATTCTATTCTATTCTATTCTATTCTATTCTAT